TGTATCTAAGACGTCTAGAAGGTCTAGAGCAATATTTTTCTTATGACATTAATCCCACCCATTGTAAATCAAACAGTAATTGGTTGATTCTGTTAGTGGTTGATTATGTCAGTGCTTAATCTGACACATTTGGCCTTCAGTTCAGCTCCTGGAGGCCTAACCAATGAGAGCTCACTTGGCTAAACACAGCCAAGGAAAACCAGGAATAAATCCTGACTGGCCAATTTTCCATTGGGTGGTTGATGAATTTAACCATTTTGTTTCCAACCAAAACTAATAAAAAATAAAATAAGAGTATTAGTACAGTACCTGTACTGCTTAAATACAATAAGCATGACGATCCTATTAAATAAAAATTAACTAAAAAATTACAAACATGTATTCTGGGCAACTTGTGGTCAATGGGGTTACTTTTTGGCCACAGGACTGTGATGAAAAATGACCTGCGTCTCAGGACGTGGCACTGCCAGAAGTTTAGTTTTGTAGAAAACCTCGCTTGTGTGAAAAAAAGACTTCAAAAGCCTCCTGGTAGAAACTTCCCTCAACCCTTTTGAAAATCAGAAAGCCCTTCAAGATGGCAGCAGAGAGCCCCCAAGGGAAAGTGCAGAAGGAGAAATCTGGGAGTGGCTTTCTTCTCCGGAATCTAAACACAGGGCAAGTTTGAGTAGTGCCAAAATATTTCTTCCCCTCTTTGGAAGACATTTTGTATGGGCTCTTGTATTAAGATGTTTGCTGAATGGAACCAGAGAAGTGACTGAAAATTAATTATTTTCTAGAGTTATAATACTGACTGTGTCATTGTTCTTCTCAGGAGAACCTAATTCTCATGAACAGGCCGTTATCGATGGCTGTGTAAGTTAATGACTGTCTATCTCTCCCAGACAGTGAGTAATATCCTGTAGACATAAATAAACTTACTTTTATTGATATAACAGCTGCTATTTCCAAACCACAGTAAACTTCTGTCCCATTTACCAGTCTTTCAGGGTGAAGTGGCAATGGAAAGGAACCATAATGGCCACACTGACAAAAATGCTTCACAAAACTGCAGTGTTTGGTCTTCTTGTCTGGGTTTGATAGTTTTTGTTTAACCCTAGTTTCACTATTTCAGTGTGTTTATCTGGATTAATAAATCAGCTGTGTTAAAAGACTTTTTAGGAACTTTGAAACAAAAGTTTTTTGATTGCATATTTGAGATGTATTATGTATAAAGTGTATGCAAATAATTAATTATTATAAATAATTGCATAACTGGTAACTGATATTTTCTTCCTAAAGTCTATCTGCCTTTTTCAAGGATATTTTGAAGGTTTTTTGATGAATGTCAGTCATTGAGTCAGTCATCACTTAATATTTGGATGCACAATATGGTGCCTTACTTTATTCTTATGTATTTACTACATAAGTGTTACCACAGTAGCAAAAACTTTATTATTTACTCCTTACTATAGTAAAATCACTATAATGAACTATTATGTTGATTAAAGTGAAATAATTTCATAAATAATCTTGTACCAGTGTGGTAACTACATGTTTAAGGTTTTCTTGAACCCTTCCTCATTCTTTATTATATCTACAAATACTGGCAGCAACCACTGACTACTAGTTTTTCAGCAGTGCTATGGTAACACTATTATTTTTACTAAATATTCTAGTATTTACATTGGTAATTACCATGAAATTATTACAGTTTAGTTAACATAGATGTTTATTATAGTGAGGAGTAATTAACAGGTGACACTTGATTACTTGCTGGTAAGTTAATACACACTGAAAGGGGAATTCCACCATTTTTAAATTTCTGCACAGAAATGTAAGATGTAAACAAAGTCATTCAGAGTGGTTTGGTGTTTGATTAATTGTAAAGAAACCTACTGGCTCTGATTGCTTTACAGTGGTGGTGATAGGAACCAGACGTCACAGACAAATATAGCCATTTGCTATCCAAAACAACCAGTGTACCTACACATTTTCTGAGCTCTTGTATGTCATGCCAATGATGGTAAAACAGTGGTAAATCTGAAAGAAAAAAAGGATTCTTTGGAAACTATTTTGCCCTGTATGTACCCCTTAGAGCCATTAAACTCTTCGGACATCTGGTTCCTATCACCACCACTGTAAACAATTATGACTCAGCAAGTTTCTGTAGAATGCAGCATTTCACATCAAAATACTCGAAATGACTTGTTTACGTTTCACATCGAGATGCAAAAATGTAGAAAAGTCAATGTAATTCCCTTTAAGCATTAATTAAGGAACCAAATTGTGAAGTATCAACAATAATTCCAGTTGATTCATGACCCCTTCCTGATTATTTAACTCTTTAGAAGTTTACAAGTATTACTGTCACTTTGCTGTTCATTTGAACATAATTTAATCAGATAATTTTTTTTACCTGTGTCAAATTAAAATAAAATATCTCCACTTCTACTGGCAAACACAGATGTGGTATCGATTGAACGTTTACAGTCTGGACATCTGAATGAATTTCTCTGTTTGTTTCAATGAGGTACTATGCTTTTGTTATTTCCAGTGATATCGGCCGCAGCTTACGGCCGGTTAAGCATACCAATATCAGTCATACGTAGCTGATACTGGAGATCACTATTTTTAGATGAGATGACATGAGATCTCTGATAGAGCCAGATTTGCCAAAGTGATGTGAGCACTGGAGGATTGTGGGACAGCAGGATTAGGCAAGTCGTGCAGGGAGTGAATATGACCATCTGGTCTCTTTGGTTTTCTTGTAGTGGAAAAAAAGACCTCCCACCACACACACTACAAACGGTTTGAGTACTGTGCAGCCTGTTAGAGCCCCAATGTGCAGGCATAGTTGCCTGCTTCTTTCACGCGCCATACACATGCTTTGCTTTCCATTCAGCCTTATGTGTAAACGTGTTGCTCTGGCAAAACGTCATTCGGCCTGTACTTAGCACAGAGCTTAAGAACTGAGTTACCAGACGTTACTGACCACTGAAAACATGTTACTTTTATATGCTTTATGAGTAAAACCTCTTTCGCAGCTCGGTTTCTTAATTTGCCAAAGACAGAACTGAGCTCTATAGAAAGTTGTTTCTATGATGTCAGAGTGCACAGTTGGCAAGCGTTTATGTTGGTTCATAAAATCAAATCTGTTGAGCATCACTGCCAAAGCTCGTAAATAACTCAGCACAAAAGGGAATGGTCACCACAGTTTGTTTCTATTCCAGCCATGTATTGGAAGAAAGAACAGAAAAGCAAAAGGCTCGATCATACAACAGGAATGTGCTTTTAACCTTTGCTGATTTCCATCTTCTCTCTCAGCATGGTGCTCCTTTTTTAAGGCACTTTCGGCTGTAACAGGTTTTTTGTACGCTCGAGTAGACATGCTGGAAAATGCAACCTGAAATGAGAACTGAAATCAGCACACAAGATCTATCAGGCATTCTACTATCAGGCACTCCACTGCTGCTGGACTCCTTTCAGCAGCAGTCCCTTTCAGCGTCCTAAATAAGCAGTCACCTCAAGCCACCCTCAACTGGAAACGTGGTGAATGAGGAAATGAGAGAATCAGTCATTCTCTATGGGCAGTGTCTTCATAAGCGAACTTCTCCAGAAGAGGCTTCTGATCTAATTTTGAACTTACAGTACCGCAAAAGTCAAAGCAGAAGTTATCCATTTTTCAGGGCATATTTCTGAGAAGACTTGATATAAAATAACCCACTTGCCTAAGAAAGAGGAAAGTCAAAAAAAGGGAACATTTCTGAAAATGAAGTTAAAAATATTAGTAAAAGTTACAGAGAAAATGTGACTCTTAACAACCAAGCCAGACCTGGTAGACCAAGAAAACTGTGACCATTAGATAAACAGTACTTAACACTTTCATATGTGAGAAAGAGGAGTTCCACTCTTGCTTCAGATCTGAAAAAAATCCACAAGTGTTTCTGTCCATCCTTCCACTGTGAGAAGAACAACTCAACACTATGAGTCTGAAAGGATGTTTAGCTGTCAAAAAACTGTTACTGAGAAATCGAAGTCAAAGAAGCTGCTTGTATTCTGAGAACAATGGAGTGACCACCTCAGAGTCCAGGATTACTTGGAAGCTGAAAATGCAACCAACTTCTAAGACTAAACTTGGTAAACTTTGGATCACTACAGATTTCTTTGAAAAATGGAAAGTATGTCTCTTGAAATTAATGGAATCTGTGATAAAGACAAAGATAGGACACAGTAAATACTGTATTACATACACATACAAACACTATATAGACAAAAGTATTGGGAAACGTACACATTAAACCTAGAGGGGCTTTTATGACATCCCATTTGAAATCCATAGGCAATAATATGGAGTTGGTCCCCCCTTGGCAGCTAGAACTGCTTTCACTCTTCTGGGAAGCTTTTTGCAAGACTTTTGAGTGTGGCTTTACGAATTTGTGCTCATCCATCCAGAAGAGCATTTGTGATGTCAGACACTGATGTTGGACAAGAGGGTCTGGCTCACAATCTCCATTTTAGTTCATTCCAAAAGTGTTTGATGGGGTTGAGGTCAGGGCTCTGGGAGGGCCAGTCAAGTTCTTCCACACAAAACTCACCCAGCCATGCATTTATGGATCTTGCTTTGTGCCCTGGGGCTCAGTCATGCTGGACCAGTAAAGGTTCTTCTCCAAACTGTTCCCACAAAGTTGAAAGCATACATTATTGTCCAAAATGTCTTGGTTTGCTGAAGCATTAAGATTTCCCTTCACTGGAACTAAGGGGTCTAGGCCAACCCCTGAAAAACAACCCCATATCATTATCCCTCCTCCACCAAACTTTACAGTTGGCACAGCGCAGTCAGGCTGGTAATGTTCTCCTGGCATTCACCAAACCTAGATCCGCGCATCAGACTGCCAGATAGAGAAGCTAAATTCATCACTCCACAGAATACGTTTCCACTGCTCCAGAGTCCAGTGGTGGCGTGCTTTGGTAGTTGCAGCATGGTTTATAGTCAAATGTGAAAAAAATGGGAACAACAAATGCACTTTTGGATTATCTCTTTATTAAGACATTCAGCGCATGACTGCAGTGGAAAACAATGCTCTTTTTTCCAGCTTTCCCCTAACAGAGAGTAATCACACATTTTACTAACCAAACTCACACGTCCTTTCAGAGTCCAAATCATCCGTGTGAAGACTGTGGTCCCCAGAGTCCTTACTTAACATGGCTTTGATACATTCCTGTCTTTCTTTCTACAAGGGCCATCAACAGCAAGCAGTGGAGTCCATTGCAGTCAGTCCTATGGGCTTTTCTCTTCCTCTCTGGACTCCCAGTCTTTTCCACAACACGTCCCATCTTCAGCATTATAAGAGCCATACTACACCCTGTCTCAAATTGTACAAAAAGGAAGAAGAATTCTTTGTTTATTTGAGTCAAGATACAACTAGTAACACTTTGGTCTGTCAGCAATTGCAGAGCGTGCAAAGGGAGGGGTCTCTTTTCCATTACCCTGAAATCAGCTGTATTAAGAATGTGCATGCAATGGCCAAGTGGACAGACTCAGCCCTGACTCATGACCTGTCTCTGCTCCACGGTCTCCAGTTTCCAGAGGGATTTGTTTATCTGGCTGGATTGCCAGTAAAGAAATCCCCCAACAGATCGAACTGCTTTCCGTCAACTACTGTACATGTCATTCCTCTGCAAATCAAATAAACAGCTGGGATCAAAATGCTGGAACCTCTTATTGGAACTAGAACTACATGTAAATCTGAACATTACATGAATGAATGATTCTTTGTATGAAGGAATGTATTAATTACCATGAGGATTTTGATACTTAAACTGCATCACTGTCACGTCTATGAAGATTCCTACCTCTCACACAAGAGACTATGATCACTGACACACTAGAATGGAAAATCCTTGGTTAACATTCATAGCTAAGAGTTTGGTCATCAACGGTCATCCAGCATGCTGTTTCCCTAACAAAAAGCAGGTACAGGGACTCAGAGCCTGGAAGGAAAGAGGAAACCAGTTCTGTTTATAGTAACTGTAGACACAGCACCATGGCCACCACAACAGGTACTGGTGAAACTGGTTACTTTAAAGCTGTTTCCACACCTAGCTTCCTAAATTCTGCAGCAAAGTTTGGGTTTTTGTGACACTGTATTTTTTTCATTTGGCTCGGTTGGTTTAGCAATGGCTAAAGTTGCAAACAGCTGCTCTGTTACTTTCACATGTGCCTTAATTTAAACCTGGTTTATGATTGGTTTGCTAATTAACCAATCAGGTCGCTGATGCCAAACATATGTTCTGCGATCCATTAGCCAAAATCAAAAGGGATTACTGGACTATTTTATTGCTCGTTTTCTGTTATCAGCAGCAGCTTGTGCTGCAAGAATGATATGAGCGTCTTTTAAAAAATCAGACGATAAAACAGACAGTTTCTATAGACAGTACAGCGATAACATGCTGCTAGGAGAAGAGGAAAGCATGTTCTGATGTGGACTCTTGTTTGGTGTTGACCATCATAAAAATGTGTTCCCAACAGCAGTGGAACTAAACCAGGCTTCGCTTGGAAGCACTATTTTTGGTGGACCACAGCTCTGTTGTCTGGTGCAGACCCGAGTACAGGTGTTCACACCTGTCAAAAAGAACCGCACTAAAGAAAAAGTTTGATAGGTCTACCAAACAAGGTAGGTGTGAAAGCACGCCAAATGTATGGCCTCAACCTTTTAGCGGTAGCATTCTTGACGCACTGTTGTTTAAAAGTGTTCCTTATTACAGGAGCACAAGCTAACTTGTTAGCTCTCGTGTTTGAGTGAGGAGATCTGTTCGAAGAAGAAAGTTCAGAAATCCTCAACCATCGTCAGAACAGGAGAGAAATGTGCAAATGACAGTAAATTGTAAATTGTGTCAAAACTCGTAAAAATGACGTGAATGTTAAAAATTGTACACAGAAAAATACTACAAAAGCTACCCTCATCTCTAGCCTGAATCTGTGATGTTTTTGCAATGTGTCAAACATGAAATCATGAACTCACATTTCTGAAAGACTGCAGAGGAACTCTCTCTTACACTATCTAGCACTCAGAAGAACACTAACCCTATCCACCCTCCATTAAAGTCTACGTAAAAAAAAAAGTTCCTCCTAAAAAATAACTAACCTATTCATATCTGACCAAAAATATACCACTAAAAGTGGCAGTCCCCTCAGGTACTTCTTAAAAGAAGTAGTTGGGAGGGAGTCCCTTTTGTGCTTGTCATGCTCCAAAAGCAGATCCACTCAAAGCTAAACCTTCCAACAAATACAGGGTGCATTCATAAAATCTCTCAGAATACTTCCCATATTGGGTTAGCTGAAATGCTGGTGCTACTGGAATGTTCTAAGACATATTTAACTGGTGGACATAGTAGCCAGAAACAGGCAAGGCAACCAAATTTTAGTCTGCTGTCTGGAAAAAAAACAAGATAATAAAAGTAAACTTCTAGCATTTTTAAAAGTTTTTAAGCACTCGCAAATGTCACAATCATCAGACATTGGCTAAGCTAATTCTAGATTTGTTTAGTCTGAAAGAGAGCACAGTTTTCACTCATGCAGCTCTGGCACCTGCAGAGCTTGATCAATAAAGACGTCACTAATGGACGATAATGGCTTGCATCGAGACCTTGCTCAAGAAAAGCTACTCAACCTGAGACTGAGAGGTCACAACTGGTCAAGAGTACAAATTATGACGTAAGGACTTACTTTACTTAGCAAATATGCTTAAATTAAATGGAATATGTGTAACAAAATAAGATGATAGATACAATTACAAGGATATTTTTCCATCAAGGCAACGTGAACTGTGCGAGTCCCTGGAATTCTGTTTGTTGGCTATGAAAAGCAGCCAAGAAAGTGACATTTTTAAGTGCATGAGCTAGTGCTTGGTCCTCACTTGCATTCTGATTTTCTCTAAAATCTGACCATATTCATGTCCACAACATATTCAGTCCAACCGTCTCTGTAAAAGCCATTGACAATGACTTAGAAATGATTGAATTCATGTGTCGCCTCTAAGGTGTGGGGCATCTTTGTAAACCTTCAAGATCTAGAGAGATTAAGCGGCTCTGCGTAGAAGCAGGACAAGCTCTCCACGCGGGTTAATGACGTTCCTGCAGGCTAATAATGCTTCCAATGGCTGGCTCATACTCTAGAGGTTGTCGTACATGTGGAGGGTCCTCTCCAGCTGCTGACCCACGCGCTGGTAAAAGGCAATCTGCTGGCGGAGGTAGGCCTGCATCATCTCTTTAAAGTCCACCTCCCTGCGACGGTGGAAGTGGTTCATCTCTGCCTGCAAGGCGAAGCCCACTGTCCTGCAGCGCTTCCGAATGCCGTCCGCCTCTTCCTGATCCATCTTCCCCTCGTCACTCATACGTTGCGATTCCTTTACCTTCGCAAACGCACCTGCGGTGGAGAGAGCAGAGTCAGACATGCATATCTGTTAACCCTTCAATGTCTAGAATTATTATTGCCATTTTGTTATAAATTCAATGTAATTCTATTTACATAAAGTGAGTAAAAACAAATATTCTGACAGCAGGTATTAATAAGCATAAACAAAGATGTTTAAAAAAATTAAACAGAGGAAAATTGTATATAAATAATGGTGGTGCAGGTGATGGAGCTTAATAAAGTTCTCATAGACAACATTATTAAACAACACTTACATGGAAAAAACTACAGAAACAAAGAGCAAAGAGCTTAAACAATTCAATAATATGCATTTGGAAAGTTCATGGCAATTCAAGGACAGGACAGATGCACCATGCAAAGCTTCTCTCTAACAGCTGCAGAGCGACTTGAAAACAGCATCGACAACAGTTACCCAGAGTTGTATAATAAGCAATAAACTGCACTGCTATCATCTCTGTTCCTACATCCCATACAAAACTTCTCTACACAGATATGCACATCTAAAATTTGCACCCAAGCTTTCAAAACTCCTTTGGAACAACGTACTCTGGTCAGACAAAACAAAAATAAGAGTTTTTGGTAGTAATAAAGCTTGTCATGTCTAGAGAAAGAAGGGTTGTGAAGAGAAGTAAAGTATGGTGGTGGAAGCATCATGGTTTGGGCTGCTCCTCTGCAAATGGCACTGGGGCAATATACGTCATTAAACGAAACATGAATGTTTTGATGTACCGGGACATATTAGAGGAGAACTTTATATCATTCGGCAAGAAACTAAATCTGGGGAGAAGATGGATGCTTTACCAACACAACAATCCCAAACATACAGCCAAAATAACTCACGACTGATTTCTAAAAAGAAAGCAAAGGTCTCCTGACTTGAATGCCATTAAAAAAAAAATTTACAAATTTTGAAAATGCAAGTCCATCAGAGGGAGTACTGTAATCTTGGAGAATTGAAGAGTTTTCCAACCACAACTGAAACACATGCTTCAAAAAAAGCTGAATCTTACCATAGACATCTCAAAACTGTAACTGCCAATAACCTCTTTGTAGCAAAGTACTAATATTATTCATTTGTGGTGTCTGAATCTTTTTTTTTCCTTTTTTATGCTCGAGAATAGGGCAATTTTTGTTCATATTTGAGTACAAAGTTTAAAGACATTGTTGTATAAACTTGAAGTGGATGTATGGACTGGATGTGTATTAAATGACAAAAACAAAAGTGCCTGAATACTTGATTCCTCTTACTGCAACTAATGACATATTTACATAATGAATTACATTTACATTACATTCTAGATCAACAGAACTAATTCTGCACATCCAACAGCTTTCTGTTTGCCAGTGTGAAAAAAATGACAAAAGAAAAACCGCACAACATAAAGGATAGTTTCTTTCCACAAACCACGACCGTATGCACAACATTATCAAATTCAAGTCCTAATAAAACATCTCTACTTAAAAACTCCCGTGATATTGATTGAAAGTTTAGAATCCACACTTTCAACAGAATTTCTATGCTTGCTTTAATGAATGAGTGAAAAATAATTAAACAAAGCAAAAGATGAGACATTTCCAAGCATTTACGCTATAGGGGATTATGTTGGGGTCCTAAGAGAGTTATCACAATGTCCTGAAGATCAGTGAAAATATTTAAAAATATTCAGTCACTTAAGGGGAACATGATTTGGGTGATTTCCTGTTCAGATAGGATATGTGGTGTTTTTTTAAACAGGATCCTACTTGTCCTGGCTGCAGTGAAAAAGAAGGTGAAACAGCTAGGGTGAACAACAGGTAGCAACAAGAAACCCACCCATTTCCTCCCCACTAATGAAGAACTAATACTGAACAGAAAACGAAGGCTGTTGGCATGCTTTGGACATGCTGCACAGTTCATTCTTTAAACCTGTATTTCTGTCCACTTTTGACGCTGGAATCATGACATTACATGAGACGATCACAGATTACAATGCTCTGCAACACCATCAGTAGGACAGTGAGAATATTACAATTAATAATTCTATTCATCACAATTTTTTTTCAATACTTTGAAACGATGCATCAGTTTTTATTGATTATATCCATTGCTATGGTTCAATCGATGTGGACGAAGTGTCTACAGTACTGTGCAAAAGTCAGAGACCACACATCACTTAGTTAACTTCCAATTGAAGCAGGCTTTAATAGACGTTCCTCATTTTTCAGTGTCAGGAAAAAAGCAGAAAATTACACAGAAGCCCCGACATATAAATATATAAAAACTTCAGTATTTAAATGTGTCCAAAAATTTGCCTTTATTACAGCTTCCATTCTTTTAGGTAGACGTTTATCCAGTTTTTCACAAAAATGTGTGGGGATATGTTTCCACTTCAGTCTAAGTTCAGTCTTAGAAGTTGCATTTTCTGTTTCACACAATCCAAATAATCCCAAACACATTCACTGATGTTGATGTATGGTCTGAGATCTGAGTCCCATTTTCTGTGCATCATTTAATAATTTTTGAACTCCAGTTTTGGAAACTCCTGTTTTTTCTCTAATTTTCATTTGACTTTCCCTTTTTTCTATAAGTGGACTGTCTTATATCTAATCTCAGAAATAACTCCTGAACAAATGAATAACTCAGTGGTTGTTTGTAGGGTGGTCTCTGACTTGGGCATAGTAGATGGCTTATTCTATAGCTTTTATACCCAGCTTGCTTTGCTACAGATTCACCATGGTGTAGGTACAACCAGGAGAGATATGAGGATTAACCATTGCTCTTCAACTGCAATACTGGGAAACACTTTACATGAACCCTGCTTCCTAACACTGACATAATGATGCCATGAACATGCCATGACAGATCATATTGAGTAATATAACAGTGTCATGTTATCATTACAGCTTGTATTACATGCTAATTTTGTACTCTAAGTGTACTCTAGTAAGCCATCATGACATCAAACACCATGACATACATCATGACAATTATCTGCAAAAGTAGCACGACACTTATGTCACTGGACACAAACCGTCATGACAACTCATGACAGTATGTGACATCTGCTACAATATGTTTATGGCATGACAATGTCAATGTTATGCAGCAGGGTGCTAGTAACTGATAGGGTGATTCATTGTGATAAACTGAACTGTAACATGTATCGCAGTGAGTTTCATATCATGAGCTGGTTGGCAATACACAGCATTCATCATCAGGAACCTGTGCTATCATTAACACACTGCTCAGCTGGACATCGGACACTGTGTGAGTAAGCAAACAGGGTTTAATAGAGCAACACCGCTGTGTGTTCTCTCTTAGTGTGTATCTGTGGCCAAAGTCAATTCATTCTGTTTTCCACATGAAGTGTTACTTCGTATCACCAGAGAATGAAAGACAAACACATTCATGCAAGGGAGGGGCAGCATGTCCAACAATATCCTGCTCTGTGTGAGTCTTATGAGGTCAGGAGAGCTGGAGGGAAACAGAATGGTCACACAGAGGCTTGTTTAACTGGACTTGCAGGACTTCAATAAGCATCAGACGATATGTAGCTCTTGGTAGAAAATGCACGACAGTGCAGATAAAGAAAACTACCCTCAGGGTAGACGGCCACTGAAACGTCCACTGGCCTGGAAATCTACTCAACACCCGTGCATACGTCTTATGACCATCCATCAGAGTGTGCATGTGCGTGTGTGTGTGTACTCTGTAAAAACAGGTTAGGGCAGAGACTAACCTGAAGTGTCTGTGAAATTTGGACTGCTGTTTTTTCCCTGACTTTCTACTGTGCTTTGATTTAGTTTAATCAAAGAATTTACTTGGTTTGAATCAAACTAGGTAAACTGTTTGGACATGACATGGAGCAAGAACTGACAAAGAAACTAGAAAGAGAGAGAAAACGAGAGAGAGATACAGAGATATATATATATATATATATATATATATATATATATATATATATATATATATATAGATATATAGATATATATATAGATATACTACATAGAGAGAGAGAGAGAGAGAGAGAGAGAGAGAGAGAGAGAGAGATACACACACAGAGAGAGAGAGAGAGAGAGAGAGAGAGAGAGAGAGAGAGAGAGAGAGAGAGAGAGATTCCAGTGTAGTGTTGGTCTGTAATCTGAAACAGGAAGTTAGACTCTGAAATCTGTGTTTGTGCGTGTGTGTGTGAGAATGCACGCTCCCAAGCTACCATCTCACTCCACGATGTGTATGTATATATATGTGTGTGTGTGTGTGTGTGTGTGTTCTTGTCCGTCCCACATTCAAGAGATTTTCACCAGTCGGTCAATTCTCTATCATCATTTAATGTAATGCACATTTAACCCCTCTAGAGAGAAATAACAGAGAGTGAATAAAATTCTATTCAACTATCTGGATAAGAGACGTGTACAGGCACGGCTGAAGCAGGAGAGATATCACATATCTCTGCATGGGTAGGTGTTGATAACTGCCGTTCTGCAGACCGGTTTTGGACCAGTACAGCAGCAGTACTGTTGAGGCTGATCTAGAACAGTGTGGTGTAGCTGTGCGCAGAATAAGCCTCTGAGCTGAGCTCTCAACTGACACTACAGCAGTACTAAAGAAAGACAGAACAAGTGAAACAACAGTCCGTGCCAAGCACAGCAGTGTACTGCTCTCCATGTCTCTCTCTCACACACACAGAGCTCTCTTTCTGAAGCAGAGGTCACAATGTTACTTCCCAGTTTCACCCTATTGTTCCATAATCTAATTGGCAAAAGCCACAAGGCACACACAGCTGAGAGCCAATCCCACAAACCAAACTTTAGAAGTCTATAATCGAGTTTTGTATTGCTACCTAGGCAGGGTCCATCCCTGATTCAATACTCCAGCTTTAACCCTTATAGCTCAATGCAAAAAAGCACCTATTTCTGTCTTTTAAAGGTGGATGCCAGCATAAAATTAGATGTCAATATGTTATTTGTCATGCTAGGCAATGTCCTGTAGCAAAGCACTATATTCCTCTGCC